GTTGAAGTTTGCACAGAACCAACAGAACTAACAGAACTAACGGAAGCATGCGAAATTGATGCAAAAGAAAACCCATTCATGAAAATGTTTTGGTTGGTGTTGGTTCAGTGGTAGAAAAGAGGAAATTGACAACAAATGTGGTGAATTTTCACTTTTATTTACATTTGTAAATTTATTGTTATGCCTTTTTGTTTTGACTGACATTCGTAACAAAGCAAAACCAATGCTATAACACACATACCCTCTTATAAAACCAACATATATACTCACCCTTTAAAGGATAACAGTTTTGCCATTGGCTAAAACAATACCTATCTCTCTAAGTTGAAATTTGAAATACTCTTAAAAGTCTTAAGTTTCTGGATGCTTTAGCTCACCTCTTAAATTCATACATTTACGAATAGTTACGAATACAAAATAAACGATTGTAATCATGTTTAAGCACACTACATGCAGATGTTACCGAATTTTAGAAACGAAAATTTCTGCAAGAAGAATATTTTAAAAGTCGGGACTAATCCAAGTGAAATGTTAACAGCATCGTCGCGGTCTATAACTATTTACAAAAATTTATTTATGAGATTTTTAAATTCTTGGTTTTCTTAATTTGTTGCTCATCAGTATATATTTCTAGTCATTAAGGATGATTTTCGTCTTTCGACACTTTCTTAACTTTTTTAAATAGCCTCGTCACAGAAAGTTTTTTATAATATATTTCATAATATTTCAACAGAAATTTCTTCAAGCAAGCGGAGTTTAATATAATTTCCTTATTCTATGTTCTTAATTTTATCTTCGTTTGAGTAAAATTAAATTATTTTTTTCCACACAAAATTCAATTTTAAGGTTAGAACGAAATTAAGAAAAATTGCCTTAATTCTATTAAAACGAAGACTGAAATTAAGGGACATTTCAAATGTAACTATGCGTAAGATAAATTTTCAACAAAAGATAATATTGAGATAACGAAAAAATAACATTTTTTTTAAATAAATGTCAGTGACCGTTGACTTTAATAAAATCGGGAAAATTTTTTGAAAGTAGTGCAAATTTTTAAATTTGAATATAGAGAAAAAATTGAAACTGTTATTAATTTAAAAGAGAGTAAAAAAAATAAAACACATACCTGAAATCCACTAAAGCTAATAAAACTACTGAATGACATCCTTTATAGTTATAATAATCAACTTTTAAAATTTCTCAAATACAAATGGTGTTTGAAGCATGTAATTTTTAACATTCGATTTGTAAACAAAAAAGATATGATTTTGTTAATTTGGGGCAGTAGTAACACTTTCGAAATTAACATAATTTCATTTTTACGAAATTAAGGAAATTTGACTGTCTGAACATAGTATTACTTAAGAAAATAATATATTGTAAACATTGCTCAATTCATTTTTTGTTGATCACAAATTAATACATAATTTTAAAATAAATTCACACGTAAACATAGAATTTGGTACAGATGTCTGAAACGTTACTATTAACATTAAAAAGTTACCAGGATCAAAAAGCCCGCGTATATCAAATTAAAATAATTCACCTCATTTTTTTATCACAAAAGTACAATATTTGAGGGGTTCTATTATCCGTGCTTATACATGTTTGCGAATAAATCATCTTAATGCTTGAATCAAACGGCATCATTGTTATATTCCGTGAAATGTGCTTTCAAAAAACAACGAAGTGTTAGAATAGTAATCTTCATTTAAAAATGTTTTATTTAATAAGCATTTAACAAAAAAATGTGTCAACGTTATCTCGGCTAAAGAACTAAGTCTATAAAATATCGAGACTCATTACATTAGTTATTATGACTCAATTCTTGTTCCATGCTCATGTTAAGTGATTGCCTAGCGGAGATTAAATTCCCTCGACAAAATAGTTGGTTAAACAAATGAGGTTATAGTGAATAAATTATGATTGAAATACCAAGCAAATTTTAAAATTACGCACACTCTATTTTATTTATAGAATCGAATCCTTTTTAAATATTGGTTGCTACCATACGTGTTATCTATCAGGTAGCTTATAATCTAATAAGGTGATGCTGTATGAATAAACAAAACGTAATTAAATGCGATAACTATTAGACGGCTACGATGCTAACTTTGTGTTTGCCGAGCGAATAAGCAAAACGCCTATTAGTTTAGTTCAAGTCTTTTTGACTTTTATCGTGAATATCGTAAAAAACATTCAAAATATTAAATAAGGTCTTAAACGATGATACTGTATTGTTATTACCGGTTTATGATTAGTAAAACCGCTTTTCGAGCAGTTATGATATTGAATACAATACATAGCCTACAGTCCTGATCGGTCCAGCAATGATAAAAAAGATTACATGGAAAAATTATTATAAGAGAGATGCTGAAGAAATAAGACTGTAATATGCTTAATATGGACAATTATTACGAATACTTTATTAATTCAAGTAACATGTAATCCAAATTTCTGTTGACTGTAGACCCCAACCCTAGGAAAAAATATAAATTATAAACTATCCTCAACATTATTTTAGTATCATTAAAATTCGAAATAATCGATTTTCAAATATTTGTTTTGATTATACTGAATCGGTTTTAATGATACCTGTGTTTAGCTGTTTGGCGTTTTAGTTTCCATATGCATTTATTGTGATGCACATGAGTTCTTGTGCGGTTCATTAAATCCAAATTATTAATAAGTTTGTGATTTATGTGTTATGTAATATTTATAATCACTTCTCCACATCTTCTGACAGCAAACATAAGCAAAACTCTTACAGCAACTAAGCATGCTTACGTTATACTTGTACCGCCCCTTAAACATGACACAAAAAGCAGCGAAATTTTTTTCGAAAACTATTCCTTCATTCAATAGCCTGTGGTGAAACATTAAATCAAATCCTGAACTCAGCCGCTAACAGCTAATATCATCTGTAGTCAAACGACATATATATCGGACATATAGCAGAAGTTCAATAATGGAATACACTTGAGCTACACTTGCCTTTATCTGCTTTTCAGATAAATAAGAATTTTCGTATTTCTTTCTTGAAAGACGTGAATTTCTAACATATATGATGTCAGAAGACCGAAAATTTGTAATTATAATAATGGTTTTAACTTTTTAGAATTCAAAATTTAAAGCTTCATCAAAGGCTTGTGCTACATCCGAAAACACTGCGGAGCATACCTCTTTTTTCGAAAGCTCAGGAGATTTTTTTAACTTACTTTGGTAAATTTTATGTATTCTTGTATTAAATATTTGCTTTCAATCTGTTAATAAAATGTAGCTTGAATTGATGAGTTTGAATAACCAGTCAAAAACTGTGATATGAATACTTCTGTTTTCAAAACAATATATCTTATATTTAAATTTTTATTGTAAACAAACAAAAATGCATTATTAGAAGATTAAAAGTAAAAAAATATATAAATATGAATATTTGAACATATATATTTATTATGAAAGAAAGTTGTAGAAATATTTCGACTTAACCATAACTTGACAAATTATTATGATGACGATGAACGTATTGACTAAAGACGAAAGTAGTTAAATTGCTAGTATTTTATGCCTATATTGATTGGCAAAAGAACAATTTTTCGAGTTTCATCAAACCTGAAGTACTAAAGAGGCTTTGGGCTATTGCACCAATGCCTTAATAATGGCGTGTTTCGACAAGTGACAAAAAAGACATATTTTAAGTGAAGTAATTATTATTTTATTTATTTTTCATTACGAATTTATTGCAGAACTTATTTCATAATTACATTGAATTAAATACATTATATTTTTGGGATAGGCTGAGCAATAATTGTTCCCGAAATTTAAAATTATATTTAATTTTACAATAGTTTTATTTAATTTCAAATCTATCTTTTAAATTGTACTAATGTGATATAAAATAATCGTTTTTAAATGTTTTAGTGCAAAGTTAGTATTTATGCATTTCATTATTATTATATACTATCCTTATAAAATGAATCTAAACATAGAATGTATATATGATATCAGTATTTCTACTAATAGGCATACAATAATGAATAAAATTATTGAAGCTTAATTAAGTTAGGAAAACACTGTTCTATTTTATTTCGGATTATTACAATTACATACCAAGCTTTTAATACAGCACTTTTCAAATAGATCTTTATTCAATACCGAACTCAATTTTTTTTATCAAATTGCAATACTAAAACCTGAATATGTATGATAATCTTATACGAAATTAATCTTTGAAAATTTAAACGAAGTCATTGTCATATCTCTAATAATAAAAGTAAACTGATGCTGACATATTAGAATTACTAATATAATTACAGTAGTACTAATATATTACTATAAGTGTTCTAGATACATTATAAGCTATGAAATTTAAAGAAGTACAACATTCTGTATAACAAAAATATTTCGTAAAAATGATAATAAAAAACAAAATCTAACCCAATTAATTATTCATTGTCATATCTATGATAATAATAGGATTACTTAGTGCAAGCACATTGCTGCTTATACTTTAAAGGAGATATATAATCGACAATATAAATACTAACGTATTATTGTAAAATTTCAGATACAAGTACATGCAAATCAGAAATTTTACAGAAACATTATGTTCTATATAACAAAAATATTAAAAAATTTATTTTAAAATTAATTCAATGCATTGCTATATCTATGATAAAATTAAAATTATCATAAATATAGCTATTTAAAAATATGTGTAAAAGTTCCAGAAACAAGTTTAAAGGTATCTGAATTTTACAGAACTTTAACAGAACTTTACAGAACTGTATAACGAAATTATTAAACAAAAAAACAACTAAAAAATTAATCAAATTCATTGTCATATCTACGTTAAAATTAAAATTAACTAATATAACTAATATAATTTTTAAAAAATATATTTCGCCAAAAATGTATCTCATTTTATATCTGTAGGAGTCTCAGAAACAAATTTAAAGAGATATAACTTCAACAGTCTGTAAAACGAAAATATTTAATAAAAAAAAATTAATTCAATTTATTGTAATATCTCTGATAACATTTAAGTTATCTGGTGGAAGCAAATTAATGCTGATTATCAAAAGGACATGTTTTACCAAAACTCTTTCACAAATTTTACAGAATTGTTATATTTCGTGTAACAAAAATTTTAAATAAATAATGTTAATTTTTAACTGAATTCATTGTCTCATCTTTGACTCCGATTATAGCTTATTTTATACAAGTGAACTGATGCTATTCGTCTAAAGTAGACTTATCATCAGAAATGTAACTTCTACTACATATTTTACTGTAAGAGATTTGGATACAACTACAACTAGAGACTAAACTTTACAGAGTTACAGCACATGGTGTATCTAAATTCATTGTTCCTTTTCTATACTTCAATCATATCTCAAAGATTATCTCCTTACTAATATAATGTAAATTATTTTACATCACATTAAAAAGTAAAAAAATTCTATGAACGCAAATTAAAGACACAAAGCATCCAAAAAATATATATATGATAATACCAAATAATAAATATGTTGTTCATCATTTAAAGTCATTAACGCTTTTTAACACGTTCTATATATTTTGTTTTATTTAAAGCACGATTTCCTGCATTTGGATCCATCATGCGACTCCAATCAGTTTGACCCACAACAAAACCAATTGCACGCATTTTCTTTTGAGCGCGTTTCTCTTCAATATCCGCCCAACGTACCTTAAATTCAATAAAATGTTATTAAAAATCTATCGCTTAGAAATATTATTTAAAAAAAAAAATTTACCCGTTTTTTTCCTTTGCTATTAGTTTTAGGCGGCTCCCAGTCGTCCATTTGCAAAAAATCTTCCATAGTGGCTTTTTTTTTATTCATCAATTTGTTTGTGCCATCCAAACGCGCTGTAATAAAAAAAATATATGTGTAAATATATATTTTATTTTAAAGCATCAATAAATAAAATATGCTTACCTAAGTTTTCGGTTGTGGTATCATTTTCCCATTTACTCTTTAGAAAACCGCACTTTAATATAAGTTAATAAATTTAATAAATTAAAAATAATTAATAAACAAGTAAATTTGCGATTATATTATTTTATATATGCGGTAATAAAAACAACAATATATAAGTTTTATCATTTTAATAGGATAGTAGATACAGTATATCAACAAATATTATTGATAATTTATCTCAACACATATGCATATTTATATCAGATATACATATAAACACAACCACCAGCTTAATATACTTAATAATTAAATAAAAATATTGCTGTAGAAACGGTTTTAAACTCAAGCTTGTTAACTTACAGCTTCTATGGATTCGACACCTTCATTACTGTCATCCTCATCTTCATTAGTTTGACTGGGCTCTATATCAACACTATCTGCATTTTCAACAAGTGGACTATTATCCTGTAATTTTAAATATTTTTATAATATTTTTATATATTAACTTCAATAAGTTTTTAATGCAAAACATTTCAACCAAATATTGATATATTTTTTTAATGATAATTAATTTATTATAATTGTAATTATTGAGAAGTTTGTATACAGAGTTTGGAAAATATACAATATAACAAGTAAGTTTCATATAATTATAACAAAATTACATATTAAAAGATTGATTTAGAGATTATTTTTTTTGACATTGTAAAGCTATACATATAAATTCTTTGTGACAAATTTTAATAATATTTATGATATTTTTAAACAGATTTGCTTAAATAGAACAACTGTAAAGATGCTTCAAACAGATATATAAGAAATGAATATTATATGTATAAATATATTTTTGAGATAATTTTTGAGATAGAATTTTTTTTTTACTACTTTCTGTAACAGAGTTTTTGTTCATTAATATATTTAACAGTTCATAATATATATTAAAATATTTTCATAAAATATATATGTAGATTTAAATGAATTATTTAATATATATAATTAAGAAAAATTTTTTTAAATCAATGGTTAAAGAATACAAAATTGTTTGAAGAAATACAAATTTATAAAAATTTATATTTAGTTTGACATAAAAAAAAGATTTATTAAAAATCACCTTAAATTAAAAGCAAAAAGGCAATCATTAAACTTTTTAAATCATATATTATATATAAAAGACCAAAGATGGGTACGTATACAATTGAATAGTGCAACTACTATAGTGCTGAATTTGAAGCCTTATTAAATAAAAAAAGAATATCAGGGTCTCAATTATAAATATTTCATTTGAATAATATATGAAATAATTCAAATACAAACATTTTTTGATTATGTGTTATATTCTAATAATAGTAATAATAATAATAATAATTATTATTATTATTAATATTATTAGAATCCACAATGTTACTTTATGTTATCATGTAATCGACGCTAACCACATATAAAGATTGTAGAAGGTATACAATGACAAGAGATGGGGAAAGTAGTGGGATGTGTAATAAAATACATGTAAGGAAAGAAATACTTAGGAATGTTGAACCAATCCTGGGTCCATGTGAAGTCTTAGTTATATAAGTAAAGTTGAAATTTATACGTAAATTTGAACACAAAAACAATTCTTATATTTGTTGATGTTCTTATATTAATTTAGATTAAAGATCAGATGACAAATCACAATCAAATTAAATTTCAGCTAAAATATAATTTGAATATAATCATATAATCACCAAATCAGAAATATGTTATATAAACATTAGTTAACAGATAATCACTAAAAATCCATGAAACTATGTTTACCGATTTTTACAAAAATAAAGGTTCTATTAATAACCGCATCTAAAGATTACTACATAAATACAGCATTCTCCAATTGGGGCTTATTTATAGTAAAATTAGCAAACTTCTATCAAAAAGAGATAGAAGATACAATAGTGTAGGGTTGGGTGTTTGAGAAGACCCTATGCTCCACTTAGGAGAGAAGAACAGCAGTAAGTAAGTAAGGGTTGGGTGTCTGACGTTAGTTTAATAAGAAAAAAAACTGTTTTATATATAGGTCGCAAATATGTCACTAACTATCGAAACTCAAGAGAAGTTGTCAATATATGTGGGGTTGGGTACCTGAAGACAAATTAAAGGGAAAGCATGCTGAAACTTTGTTAAAATCATATACAATGCTATACACACACTGAATTGAATGTAACAGTATTTAATTTCAATTTATATTCTTTTTATATGAAATTTCCATGTCACAAAGATACAGTTATGTAATTGTTTTGAAATAATTTGTTATTATATATATATATATAATATGTATATTAAATATTTATAATAACATTCAAGTTATTTTCTTTAATAATTTACATATAAAATTTTTAATGCTGAAATCTGAAATAAGAATCAAATTATTTTTTATGAACTTAAAATTAAATCAATTTTCAATGTATGAAGAAGCTGTAATATATATGCATTTTAATTTATATGCATAATATTTACTGAAAGTATAAATTTATCAATAATATTACACAATAAATATTATATATAGTTTGTGTCATATGACTCCGCCCGCCATAAGCCATACAACATATAACAAAACTTTATAAAAACTTCATTTTTTTGTAACAATATGATAAAGATATTTTTCTAAAGCAGATATAAAGATAAATGTAAGAATTATTAGTTCAAGACAATTAAACAATTTAATGTCTATAACAATATGTTTTCAGACTTTGTAACTGTTACTTACAAAAAAAATATTATAAATAATTTCAAATAATATTTTTAAATATTAAACAAAACAAAACCAATATATATATGTAAAAAATATTTAAATAAATATTTAAAAAAAAATATATATTTATAACAATGCTGGAAAAAATAGTTTAAAGTTATTTTAAGCTGTTTTTACCGTAACCATATTTTCAGCATCTTCCATTTCTACAACGTTTTCTAGCAGTGATGAAACATCCAATTTGATATAATGGACCGGTGTATCTTTCCAATTAAGAATTATATCTCTAATATCGATTTCGGAACGTTCATGTGTATTCTGTTCTAAGCATTTCTCCACATCACAAATCAAATCTATAATGTATGGCTAAAAAAATTGGTAAAATAAGCATTTTGAAATATTAATAATTAAATAACTTTTCTATTGTTAAATTAACAAACATAACTGAGATCGCTATTAAAAAACAAAAACACATGTATAAAATGTATTTTGCAAAATTTATACATTAAGTATGGACTTTACATACATAATTGTAGAAACTAAAATAAATGAAATAAAATTTATATTGACATATATTTTTATTAAACAATATTTTTATTAAACATGCTAGTAACTATTGTGGTAACCATTGCCAATTCTATACTTACCACAAATCCGGAATCTTTTGCATAGCAGTAGAACTCATTTAATGTACGCAAAGAGTTATTATTACAATCAACGATTATAAAATCATACAAATTGTCAGCGACAGTTTTCTTAAAAGCTTTTATTAAATATTGCATATATGATTCTTCCATGTCGGGATCATATTCATAAAGTATCTCAGTTTTAGGTATCTACGATAAATAATTAATATTAATTAACAGATATGCGACATTTAATAATTAAATTATCTAAAATATGTTGAAATCTATTTATTACAGAGCTGTGAACCATCCAAAAATCTGAAACGGTTTAATACAGTTATTTAAGCAGTTAGTGTTACCCATTTTCAAAGGTTCCGATTTATAATCAATTCGGTTTACAGCTCTGATGTATTATTTCTTATCATTTAATTATTACCTTTTTGCCTGTTTTTGGACATTTCTCTTCGTAATCGTTTTCAATCAGGAAATAATCATCAATGCTTAATATCCGTGGACTAGCACCACGCATTTCGGTTTCTTTTTCCTTTATTAATTTAGCAACATGTGACTTTCCACTACCTGGTGGTCCTCTTAGTATGATTACAATTTTTCTCGGACGTGTTTCACGTCCTGGTGGAAGCAATATATCATCAATAGATATAGTATTATTATTTTCAGCTGTTGGAATTGAAATTTGGAAATTTGTTGAATGGAACGTATTTATATCGCTGCTCGCAAGTGGCATTCGAGTTGTCACTGCAGAATTATTTGCACCGACAATATTAGGAATATTAAAAGATATAATTGGTGGCGGAGGTGGAATGGGAGAATCTGGCCTTTCATAATTTAATAAATTACTGTTAGAAAAATATTTATATTAATAATATATATAATTTTACTTCTCAAATCAAGTTTTACTTACTCTTCTGAATCTGAAATCTGTTCTAAAGTTTCATTTTGAGTGTTACTCTCATTTGTGTTATCTTTTAATTCTTCAGATTTTTCATTATCGTTTTGAATGGTAACATCTTTATCAGCACCTGATATATTATCCGTTTGCTGTTGGCATAATTAATTGTTTATATAGTGTTTTGTTAGAAAATAGTTCCTGCTTTAAGAATTTTATTTATTAATAAAAAATTATTACCTCATTATTTTCATAAACCTCCTTTTCATCGTTTGGATTATCAGCATTATTTAATTGTTGTTGAGTTGATTCGGTTTGATTAGAATTTTGTTTCGCAGCTGCATTTGCTTTATTTCTGCGTCTTCTATTTCTTTTTTTAGCATTTGCAGACATTTTAGAATTCTGTTGCTGAAATGAGGAACTTCCAAAACTATTGTTTGTAACATTCGATGAATGGCCATAATCGATTGTTTTGAGAGGTCTAAAGTCACCATCATGGGTGGTGTTAAGTTCAGTAGTCATTCCACCACTTGGTTTGTGTCCGTAGTCAAAAACTTTTGGTGTTATCGAATTATTATGATAATCAATAATTTGTGCTGGCCGATAAAATTCATCATATTGACTACCATCACTTTGGCTGTTATAATTAGTTTCATTTTTAGAATTTAATTGGTTATAAAGGATTTAATAATCACTTTTTTTTTATATTAACTAACTATATGTATTATTCACTTCAACTTCACAGAGACAACAAAATTTGGAATGCTTAGAGATATGCAGCCTCAATATATTTTAATTTTCTCATTATATAAAAACGAGAAAATTATTATTAAAATATTTTAACCACATTAAGCAAATCCATTCATCTGATGTCACTGTATATAATTTATTTTTTAAATCAATTTTATTTAAAAATAAAATAATTTTAAAGATTGTATACAATAATATTGGTTTATAAATATTATATACAAAAACCAATACTTTTTATGAGGTAGGAAAAGCATTTCGGGAAAACTCATATGCAAGGTTTTTTTAATGCTTTTTAGAGATTCTGGAGAAATTGCAAATTTTGTAGGTTTTTAGTGGTATCAAGAACGTAATATTTAGTCTTATATCGGACTAATATTTACTCGCATGCAGGCATGAATAAACTTTATCAGCTGCGGTCTTCGCGTAACACAGAAAACTTTATGCTAGGAATCGCAGAACTGAGTAATAAACGGGCAATTAAAAATGCAGTAGAAAATCACAGATACTTAAATCTTCTTTGTAAATTAATTTTAATATACAAATAATATAAAAAATAATTAAATAAATAAATAAATGAAATAAATAAAAATGGATTAATTTTTTGTACACGATTTTAAAAGCAATCTAAATTACCACTGACGCTATCGTAACGATTATTTATTCAAAAATATGAACAGATATTGTACCAGGTGTTTTATATATCATTATTAACTGGTTAATGAATATGAATAAAATGCATTGGTTTATGAAATGCATTGGTTTATATTACCCAAACGCATTTAATTTAATCCAGGAACATTTACTATAAGCCGCAAAGATGAAAGACGCAGTCTACAAAACAAATATTGACAAATATATCGAGACTATAAACAAAATAACTGGTCATAATTATTTCCATACATTGCAAGTTCGTGACGCTTATAAACCGTAATCCCTTTTTCGAAGAGTACATACTGTTTAAAAATGTTGTTCCTTTTACCTTATATATTTATATAGTTGCAGGTCTAGAGCAAGTGTTGGAATTTTTTTTTAAGTAAACGGTTATTATAGCATTTAATAATATTCAGTTCAAGAAGTAACGATACAAAAAAATTTTTTAACGGTTGAAGAACCGATTGCCCATATTTATTGAAATTATCATTGCCAAAGTGTAATCTTAAAATAAGGCTGTGGCAATAATATTAGTTTATTCACTACATTTATTCAGAACATCATTGATACAATTGCTATACTTGAAAATTGAAATAGGCATATAGGCATATATAAATGTATATACCACATCATTACTAAAATTATTTGCAGTAACAATATTGAGACAAGTTTCAGTAGCAAATAGTATGATATACTCAAGCATAAATTTAAAAATATATATTCATAGATTATAGGGTGTGTTGTGCTGATTAAGAAATATATATATAAGTATCATTCTCAAATAAGATATATCGTTACCAAAATAGTAACGATTTGTATTCATGCACTGCTATGTTTATATCAATTAGCACTAAAACTAAAGCTTCAATTTAAAACTAAGTTATAAACTAACTAATATGTAACAATAAGCACTTGTATAGCCTACAATATTATTAGATATTTATAATTACTTAATTAAATAACGTTATTATTGTTTACTTATTTTCCTATATATAAAAATATTATCTGAAAAGCAATTATTTTAACTGCATTAAAATTAAGAAAATATATAAGTACATTTTTTAAATGTAGGTAAAAATGTTTTACAACATTTATTATTTAAAAAAGAACAAAAAATAATTTATGAAAAAATTAAAAAATTGTTTTGATAAGAAATAAGTAAAACAGATATTAATTTTTTTCAGTGCTTACATTAAAAACTGGTATATGCATTTATTATTCATTGTCTCAGTCACTTACGTCTTCTTTGACAACTTAGTGTCATTTAAGTTGGGTTTATCCCAACTTGCTCAAATTTATTCTAGCGACTGAACTTGAACTTGCTCATAGTCAAGATATTTCATTCAAGCAAAATTTTTGAAGAATAAAGGTGTTTGCGCACGTGTAAGTGTGTTTGTATAACCACGCACAAATATGCTATTGACTGAGAGAATGGAAATTTTTAAGGTGACAAACTATCATTCACAACATGGCGAAAAGTTGATTGTTGTACTCACCAAAGCAGGCCAATATCTTGGTTGAGTGTTACTCAATGGTGCAAACTTGCAGTTTTGACTGTCAGTCGTGGATTTTCTCTCTTGAATGACATTCAAAACTGCAAGTCTGCCTCACGTTTACACCAGTATTTTGCTTTAAAATTAATTCCTATTTCCTCTTTCTTACTCTTGCATAAAACAGATAGTTTTATGTATATGGATATATAAGATGCTTAATTATTTTTATTCAATTTACATATTAGCATAAGCATATACCAGCTAGTAAGGCATACAAAACCTTTAAGGTCAACAACTGCAGACAATGTGCACGACAAAAAGAAAAACAAAGCTTAGAGTAGACGCAGTGCTTTACACAAAGAATTACGAATAATGAAATGATATATCCTGCAAATGGTTATAGGCGATATAACAAACAATTAATAAGATTTTTACATACATAGTTACATACTGTTAATATACTTTGATTATATTTATGAATTCTTTAAATAACTCTTTAAGGCTACACTATCGCATTTATATCAACATAGTGTGAAATTTGTAGTTCTTCACAGATAATTTCAAGATTCGGTTTCGCTGGCGATGTTTTATAATATAATCAATAATATGTGACCTTTCATGGCTGAAGTGGGCAAGTATCGTCATCAATGATTTAAGTGCGTTTAAGGTAAAACTTTGTGAACAGTAAGAGTTTTTGTCTCCTTTATCTCAAAAAAGACAAATTTTTGGGAATATGTTGCTGCTTCATCTGGGCTTTTAAAAAAGTATTACTGCTGTAGCATCAAGATGCATCTGTTTCCAAGTCGATGTCTTTTCTATGTGAATTTGACATTTGGTGTAGCTCATTGGAATACAATGTTAAAAACATCATCTAGGTTTTTAAAAAGTATTACTGTTGTAGCATCAACATGCTTCAATGCGAATTTAACGTTTGGTGTAGCTTATTTGAATACAATGTTAGAAACATCATTTGCAGCTTCTTTTGTATATCGAAATTGTCTTCTATTTTAAATATGCCTTTATCCAACAAAATTCCGAAAAGTTATTTTCACGAATATGAGAGTCATACTTCAAATTTTAATGACGTCGACACAAAATGGCTGTCTTATAAAGTGCTGTAGTTCAATCGTTATTAAATTAATTTGCAACGTTGCGTTTATAGAATATGCTTCAGCTTAAAATGCCATCGATGTGGTACCAAGTAAAACTATATGGATTTAGGGGATATTTTAATTGAACCTAACCTCGGTCAAGACAAGGAACCATTAATCAATAAACCTCAAACTGAATGTAAATTAGGGCATATATGCAGAGGGGCAACTTTATAGGAAGAGCTGCAGTATGGGCACACATTGGGAAGAGACGTGTTTATACCGGGCAAGTAATCCTTTAGCATGTAACTAAATTCTGACCATATTTGTGCGAGGATAGAGTTCAGTTCGCTGCATGGGATAGGTACATTCAATCATTCTATTATTGAATATTTCAATAAAACAACTGTTGTAAACTTTGTAGCAATTCAAATGTATTCTTACTAAAGCACATCGTTTTTGTTGCACTGTGAATTATAAGCATCAACTAAATGTTTAAAGTTTCCTTCTTAATAAACGACTTTTTTTATAAAAAAAGTCTTATAAAAAAGACTGCTGTTATACATAAGGGAAGTCTGTCATTAATAAGCATTTAAAATTTTATACAATTTTAATACATTTCAATGATTATCAACAATATATAGCAATAACAATATATGTGTTGAATCATTGATTGTCAAGAAGAGAAAAAATTCACTTACTCAAGTAAGTCATTTAAAGAAGTATTTAAACGATATAAAATCACAAGTATACATAAAGATATATTAATGTAGAAATGCTTATCTTTTTCAAGACGTAATAAATATATCACAAACAAAAAAGATTAAAATTATTAAATATACAAAATTATAACTACCTTCTTATATCTTATGAATATTTATATATAATATATAATAAATAAAATAGTTTATTTTTTTGTCGTTAAAACGCAAACTTTTATTCTACATCTAAATTAAAATGAACTAGTGTAATACAATATTTCAATATGTATATAATTATACATAATAAATTTAAGCTTAATCTCTAATTAATTAAAGTGATGTTTTAAAATTTTCAAAATGTTGAAATTGTATATAACAACTTCGTGAGAAATTTGAATTTATGAATATTTTTTCACCAATTGATATAAACTTGTCATTTTTTTCAATTATTTGCGGCTTCCATGGTATTTATTGCTGTTTTTCTTATCAAACTTAGATTTATTTTTATTTCCGTTGCTATATCGTTTCGGTATATAGCATTAGTTTTGGATACATTTTTTAAAGATTTATTTTTATATATTTGCATTCCATTTTTTGCAGAGTACAGAACGATGTACATTGAATGAAAAGAGAAGGAATGGAATAAAATCCAATATTAACAACATGTTTCAAACGAAAATAAAAAAGTGTTAAATAATCCTATATAAATTTTAAGAAATATATATAGGTTTGGTAATTGCCCTAAATCCCTACACCCAGTTGCACACTTTTACTTCTTTCGAAAGGATATAATAAGAATGAGTAAATTCTAAATTAATAATTTAAGCCAAATAATCTCCGTACTACCAAATATATATATAACTAAACTTAAAAACATATAAAAACATTTCTATAACAGTTTACATATATAACAGTTAATTGCGCTACAGGCTACATACTTTGTTCGTAAATCTTACAAAGATTCAGTTAGAATCTAATTAAGATATCAGAAAAAACATAAAAAATAGTTGAAAATATTTAAAATAAAAAGATAATTTGTAAAACAAAATACATTTTTGAAATCTTTTAAGGATATTTTTATTTTATATAGTGCAAATATCTCTCAAACTTATAACTGAATATGTTAGTACAAATAACACTGCTAAATAGCCAGCAGCAGTTCAATACATTCTAACTAGACAATCAGTTTCAACAGATGTTAATAAAAAAAACAGTTTACAATTGGTCCTTACGTGTCTGTCATCACATAACAGTCCACAGTTTCAAGGGGTAAAAGGTAAACACGGCGATAGTTTCAAAAAATACGCAGAGGAAGACCATATCTCCGGTGCAGAGATCAAGTTGAGATTGCATTAACATAATATATACAAGACTACGATTTATCAATGCAGTTTGTTCAATTTGTTTCCGATCAAATTTTAAAAAATTTATTTTTTTTTTTGGGATAATTTGTAAAGTAGCTGTTGAATTATGTGTACAAGACTTAGCAGACAATTGTTAAAAAAAGACATATGACGAAGTCTTTTAAATTGATAAGCTAACGTTAAGCGATGATATTACGCACAGGTCTGCACTCAAAGATAATATTATCTTAATTAATACATAATGAGTTCAAAACCTGTTTTAATGTTCTGCGCATGAATATTTAAAATATTATTCTTGTAATAACTTTAGGTGCTCAAAAGAATTCGGTTTAAATATTTTATAGGGAAACAGCGTCATACACATGCAACTCGTATTGAGATAGTCCGATTTAGTTCGGGTGACTGACTATATCTTTCAAAATTACAAGTTTTATTTCTTATCCATTCATTGTGAACACAACTTATGTTTCAGCTGTATAGTTGATCACCAATATTTGTTGTTGTTGTACAGCTTAAATCCACACAAAAATAGCAAGCTTATTTAATTTGGATTTGGAATTTGCTAAAGAAAATCACATCAATATCTCTTAATTATCATATAGAATTTATGTTATGTTCTCGTTCTATACGTATTTCACTTTCAGATACTACAATGCAATGTTAAGTAAGATTAAAGATATATTAATTGTAAAAATCGAATAATCCATGGTAGTAGTTTGGTTGATTCAAATATGTATAATATATTCTTTTATAAAGAAATATCACTTTCACATTTGAATTTTTTAAAATTTTGAAGATATTAACTTAAACAAAATGTAGGGTAAAATACGAAATGACAAAATGTTTTATAAAAATCAGTTATTAATTATATATTTATTTAGAGAGATTAATATATATCACTAGAACGGAAACTCCTATCACTGTCGACGTTAACAGATTCACAATGATGGACAATCTAATCTTTATTTATATAACTGAACCTTTTTTCTGTAGACGTTAGGGAAATCTCCAACAAAGAACTGAGTATCTTTTGTTTGGTTAGAATTGGTTACCAGCGCAATTGATCAACGCTGGTGGCAGTGCTCTGCTCCAAACAAGGCTCAGAAACTCTAACCAATAGTATTTATGGTGATAATATATATTTAAAAAAAATATTAATTTTTTTTTGTTTGTTAAATTTTTATTATATATATTATATTATAATATATATTATTAATATAATATATATTAATATATTATATATTATTATTAGATATTATATATATTAAAGATGAACACTGATTTTTTGATTATGGTTAAATTTTATCGTAAGCACCGTTCAAAGAATCTGTAATCTTGGAAATACGCCTGAAAATAAATAGGTGAGGTAAGGGCAGAATAGTACACAAATGTTTAAAAGATACATATAGAACCAGTCACTTACAATCATATATCATATATCTCAATATATGTTAAAAATGTATTTGGGATATAGCTTGTAATAATTGTAAAGACATCAGAGTAATGCAGTGAAATATAAACATATTGTATATAGCTAAATCAGAAAAATACAATATATTCTTATTTGGATGAAATATATTAATTCTATATAAAAATCTTAAAGCTTTTACTTGATATAAAGCTTGACATATTGGTTGTAAAGAACTTCAAAAGTAGTTGCTAGAGTACTGGATGTAGGGAATTGTAATTATTTATATCATAATACAACATAAATGTGTTGTTTGCAGTTATGCACCAAGTTAAAATAAAACTAATTATAAATTTCATATTAGATATGAAAATAAAACAAAAAAAAAGACAACATTGAATTATGTTGAAGAAAGGCTTTTGTATAGCAAATTTTGTTTTTCGTTTTCTGCATAATTTGAATTAATATATGATTATTCAATCACGAAAAAAAAAATTAACAAAGTTTACTAAAAAAAAGAGTTTTAAGAAAAACTCTATCATTAAAATCTATTGCGACAGATGATATATATATTTATATATAGATAAAAAATTGATTGAGTTTTTTTATACGTACCCAATATTCCAAGGTGATTGAATATCCTTCCTTTCGTTACTACTACTGCGATTGCGATCACTAGTCGTATTTTTATCATTGCCATCAAATAACGAGTTATTAGGTCCCCCACTGCGTCGAAATGGATTGTTAACATTTTGAACTTTCTTCTCGTTATTCGATTCATTGTTAGGACCACCTTCTGAAGTACTAGCTTTATCCTGAATAAAAGACTTTGATACATTATCATTTGAACCAATGGAACTTCGATCATTTCCACCAGAGGAACGCGAATTATCAAAATTTTGTCTGTTTCTATCATTGAAATTATTGCCACGTTCGCGGAAATTGGATTCATTGTCTCTAAAATTTGAACCACGGTTATCACCAAAATCGTTGCCACGATTGTTATAGTTTCTGTCATTGCCACCAAAATTACGTTTGTTGTTAAAGCTTGAATCATTGCCACCAAAACTGCTGTTGCCACGATTGTTAAAATTCGAATCAAAATTGTTATTACCACGATTGTTAAAGTTTCTATCATTACCACCAAAACTATTGTTGCCACGATTGTTAAAGTTTAAATCATTACCACCACGATTATTAAAGAATGGTCCATTATCTCCAAAATTATTTTGACGACCGCTACTATTGGAACGATTGTTATCTGTGTTGTTATTAAAATTTCTTCCACGATCTTCATTGTAAAAGGGTCGATTACCTTCGAAATTATTGTTATTGAAGTTATTTGGATTATTGGGAAATGCACTCATATTATTATTAAATACAGGATTCTGATTTTGTTGTTGCCAATCAGAAAATTGTAAATTTTGCATACCACTATTATTAGGCATCTGTTGTTGTAATTGCGGTTGCAATTGTTGCAATAATGCTGGCAACTGTTGGAGTAATAATTGCGAAGTTTCTACTTGAGAATTTTTATTTGAGTTCTGCATTATATTTTGATTTAACATTTGCATAATATTGGGATCGCTTAATGCTTTTGTTAAATCAGGCAAAGATTGCAATAAATTATTCTGTAGTTGTTCAACCAAATTTGGTAATTGTTCGGTTGTAGTTTTTATTTCATCTGGTTTCATCTGAGGAGCAGATGCCTCAAAAGTAGATTCGTTTGGTTTTTCAATTACAACATCAAATAATGAAGGTATTTTCTTAGTAGAAGATGTTGAATTATCTTCAACTAATTTTTCTACTTTTTCTATAGATTCCGTATTTTCCGATTTTGTCTCTAAAGCATCTGTTTGTTTTAAATTATTATCTTCAACTAAATCTAAACCAGGTATTCCATCCGATTTTTTAAATATATTTCGAATAGGTAAAGGTTCTATTGGGTCTTCATTATGCTCTTCATTTTCATCATCATCTAATGTTATAATTTCCGTTACTAACTGCATTTTGCTATTATTTTCAGCTGGTTTATTTTCAATAACTGGTTCTTGTTCTATTATGTTGACTTTTTCAGGTGGTGGTGAATCGTTAAATCGACTTTTTCGTTTTCCACATAAAGGCGTCTTTTTTGCTTCAGTTAAAACAATATCCTTTTCAATTATTAACTTTTCGGGTTGTGTTTCTATATTTGGAGTATCAAAAATTTCTTTAGGAGTTACACTTTCTGCTTTATGTTCTTCCTGTTCTTTCCGCTCTTCCAGTACAACTTTTTGTATTGGCTGCGCAACTGGCGCTTCTACATTCGCAAGGGAAGGAATTACCGGTACAGACTGAGCAACCTGTAAGTTTTGAATAGAAATATCCTTTGTATCAACTCTGTTTCCACTATTTGGTAAGTTTTCTATTTCTTTTGGTGTGTGCTCTACATTTACTTCTTGAGATACCGTCGCATTTCTAATGTTTTCCTGGGATACTGTAGCATTTGGAATAACTTCATTTTGTATTTTGTTATTATCAGTTTCTTGTTTATTTATTTGTTCATTCGAATCTGGATTTACACCCAATATTAACATTTTTCTTTTACGCATCTGGTTACGACGCTCTACGAAACGCTGTCGTTGATTTTCAAAATCTTGTAGGTATCGTCTGTGTAATGCTGGATCTGGATGGTTTACGTTTAAACGTTTCCAATCTTCAAATCGTTGCTCCCACTCAGAGAATAATTTATCAAATGCAGCCTCATCAAGCTCCATAGTACGTAATTGTTGCTGCTGTTTCATTTGTTGTTGCTGTGACTGTGTGTAATAATTAGAATTAGAATTTGAATTATTATTCCAATTTCGTTGCATTTGATTTTGACCAAAATTGTCAAAATTTTGATTTCGATTAGCATTAAAACGATCATTACTATCAAAATTATTTCTGTCAGTATCTCTAAAGTTAGAGCTGTTATTTCCATAATTTTGATTAAATTGTCCTGAATTATTTCCACTAGATCCCCAACGATTTTCATTATTCTGATTACTACTCCAACGATTATCATTATTCTGATTACTGCCCCAACGATTTTCATTATTCTGGTTACTTCCCCAACGATTCTCATTATTTTGATTACCACCACCCCAACGATTTTCATTACTTTGATTACCACTCCTACGATTTTCATTACTCTGATTATCTCCCCAACGGCTTTCGTTATTCTGATTACCACCCCAACGACTACCTCTGTCATTGAATGATTTATTATTTCCAAATCTATTAGTATCTTCATTTTGACTTTCAAAGCGATTATAATTTGAATTACTGTCATTATTTCTTAAATTATTATTATTATTATTACTATTATTACTAGTACTGTTGTCTAAACTGCTTCGCTGATTACCCAAATTCCAAGAATTCCTTTCCTGTGAGGTTCGATTATTACTCCATCTATCTAAATCTTGTGAATCACGGGGAAAATTGTCTTGATTTCCAAAACCGCGATCAGAATTTCTAGCATTAAACTGATTTATTTCCATATTTTTAGCTTCACTTTGGTTAAAATCGTTCTGCACATTATTCCATTTACTGTTGTCATCTGGATTGTTTGGGCGGAACGAATTATTTGAACTTTTATCCAAAGAATCATCATTTGCACATTCATTGGAATCACCTTGCATTAATGGAGGTTCGCTATTTTCATTGGTATTACAACTTTCCTCATTCAAAGGTGCTATTATTTCTCTATTATTGCTTTCCTCAGTATTCGAAATATTGGATTCAAAATCATTTTTAAAATCTAAACGATTATTATTTGATTGTGGTGAAGTAAGTGGAAATGATGATGGCTTTTCGATATTAGAGGAATTCTGATTACTAAACCTCTGTGTGTTTTGTTGATTAAAACTTGGAGACTGTGTATTTGTATTTTGTTGCATTGAATTAAAATTTGGTGGCTGTGTGCTGTAATTTGGTGGCTGGGTATTAAAATTTGACGGCTTTTGACCATATGTTGGTGGTTGTTGACCAAAATTTGATGGCTGTTGACCAAAATTTGGTGGCCTTTGGCTATAATTTGATGGAGGTTGATTATAACCTAATTGCTGCTGATTAAAATTTGGTGGTGGTTGATTTAAATTCGTCGGCATTTGACTATAATTGTGCTGTGTTTGCCATGATTGTTGATAATTTTGCATTGCTGGTGCAGCTGGGGTAGCTGGAGGTGGCTGATTGAACTGCATTTGCGGTTGAGCATACATCTGCGGCTGTCCAGCAATTTTAGCTGGTTGTGATTGAGTATTATCTGGTGGCAGAGGTGGCTGTGGCTGTTGTGTAGAATAATAAGAAGAATGACTTGGAGTTGGATTAACTGCAGCGGCAGCTGCCATTTCACGTTTATACTAAAAAAATAAAATAAATATACATATACATGATTAATAACTTATCTAAAATAGAAGCTATCAATAAATTCATTTAAACAAATTTAATAAAGTTAACTAGTATAAATACTCAACTAGTATAAAGTAAGGAAAAAACAAAAGTTTAATATTTAATTTTAAACCACATTTCACAAAGAAACATAATACTATGTATTAAACATAAACTAAGATCATTTATATGGTATCACAACTCATTGTATCAAAAGTCACTTCCTTTGTTTATGCAAATAAAAGATAAAATTCTGGAGCTAAGAAACAATTGTATTACAAAATATAATTTGCAAGTCCTTATATATAATTCTTTTCTATTTTATTTAACATTTCAGATTTTTAACGAAGAAGCGAATCAAAGATATTTTGTAAGCTTGTTTACAGTAAGAAAGACGCTCAGTACTTAAATTCACATTTTATATTTCTTAACATGAGTAAATATTATACCACTCTTATAGGTTACAAAGATCAAAATAATGCCAGTTAGATGTCTTGTGTTTGTTTTTTAATTAAGTTACAAAAACGTTATTGTTGTTGTTGCCCGCCAGGATGTTTGTGTGGGAACTACTTGATTGACAGAAATTGACAACTGACACATTTAATTAGACCCAACCATAGATTGAAATTATTAAGAGATAGTGTCGCAATGTGAGATAACGACCTCATAGACGAAATATGCAAAAACTGACACAGATTTAATCTTAAAACTCTCAATATGAATTTTACTTAAATAGTCAAGCTATTTAATATTATTTTATACGCCCGTAATATCGTTTTGTTACAAGCCTTTCTGGGGTTAGGCTACATCGTTGGTTGTTACACACTTAACCATCAAGCAGTGCATTTAGACTAATAATTAAAAGTTTCGATGAAAAGTGAACATTTTAATAGAATTTAAAGGGACGAAAACACTATATACTGTTTGTAAGCTATAGCAGTTCTCAGAAATGTTAAAAGTTATTGAAACCAAACAAAGTTACAGCAAGGAAATCACATCCAGCAGATATCACAGTATGTAAAAGTGTTCCTTATGACTTTTACGTTTATTATTTATTTCAAAAATCGTAATATTTAAGTCGAACCAATTAAATACTTTAATTTTGTAAGTTTATGACAGTTTCCTTTACACTCTTGTGAATAATTGTTATATTAAGTTCTTAGTTAGCTCGAACAGAGGATTCGATTTATCACGGTCTATTTGATTGTCTTTAAATTTCTGTTTTTGAACATAGAGAGTTACTATGAATACCTATAGGTAATATAACAACAATTAGTTAACATATCATGCAGGCATTTTTTATATTTTAATACTCTTTTACATTAGTTATATATTTTATATTAAGCACCTGTTTTGAAGATTGCCTACTTTTTAAGAAACCTTTAGACATCGATTTCCCTCCAAATTAGTGTTTGATGCAAATGAGATGATATTATAACAAACTTAATGTTATTAATGTCAATGAAAAAAGGATTTCTTATAAATAATTAAATTGACAAGACGTTTTATAATACAGTAACAATATGATTTTTCGATTTTTAAAATTACCATTATCATCAATAAATCAGAATATTAATTCCTTAATTTTACGTTTAAATTTGAATTCAATATAATAAGCATAAAAATTTCTATCGCAACAAAGTTTAGCAAAAAAAAAGTTTACTTCAATATAAATGTTCACAGAAAAATCTTAATAGCTACACCAATTTGACGTTTATTATCGAAAAATTTTTTTCTTAATATTTATTGTTTGTCAATTTATGTATATATGCATATCTATATGCGTATATGCATTTTATGTCCACAAAGCATTATTATATTTGATTAAATTGTTCTGTTAATTGCAGTCAGCTCACTTGCATAAAACATACTTTGATAAAAATTTTATTTTAATATTTGTTTGTGATAAATTTATATGTATACACATATATACATATATGTATGTTATATATACAAAACTGCACAATGATTGCTTAAATAATTCCGTTAATTGCAGGTATTTAATTTATTTATAACTTACTTGCTCCCCATATTGTGCGTGCCATTTAGCATATTCTGTTTGATATTCTTGCCATTGCTGCCAATGTGCAGCCAAGGCAGCTTGTTGTTCAGGTGTCATAGCAGCATACTGCGCAGCAGTATATTGACCAGTTTGTGGTGCACCTCCAATCACTTGCATACCTGGAGTCGAAGTTGGTAAAACGGGACCTATTAAAGTCCCTTCTGATGGAGGAGCAGTATTATCTCCAACACCTGGAGTCGCTGGAATAGGAGCAGTTGTTGGAAGTGGTGGTGGTGCAGTAGGTAATGGTGGTTGTTGAGGAATTACAGATTGCACAGGCATTGGGGGAATGGGTGCTGGCCCGGCAGCCCATTGATTCCACATCGTAACACTTATTTATAAAACTGTTATCGACAAAAAATATCTTTCTGAAAATTGTTAAATAGCTTCACAGTTTTGATTTAACAAGAACAATCTTATCAAATGTAAATTTTACTAGTTTATAAAATAAAATTTTTATAAATTATAACTCAGATTAACGCTGTCGCCATATTCCAACTTAATGAAAAGTAAGGGTGAGAATTTTTCGATAACGTTCTAAGCGAAAAACAAATTTGATTTCTTATGTTATCGAATGAATGTGTATCGTGAAATATTGTTTATATTGTTTGATATATTATATATATATGAATAGAAGAACAGTTAATAATAAAATGATTTTTAAAATAGATAAATTTATTTTATTAAACTTTAAAATAGTATATAAAAAAATATTTTTTTTTGATATCATATGTAATGTCATAGAACATAAATATTAAACAATACGACAATACGATTCTTTGATAAATACATTTATACATTTTTTACTGGAATGTTAATTTACAATAAGGAATTTAATTTTTATATCTAATTGGCTCTTTCAAAACCGGAGTATACTTATGAAAACATGAATTTTGATACAACTTTCGAAATCTTGCATTTTGATTTTGCAAACAATAATAGCATGCAATAATATAAATTCAATGTTTTCTATCTCAGTAAAGCATAAGATAGACGATGCTACATGTATGTACACCAAGTATGCAGACCAAATGTACGCTTTACTAAACACTTTGAAACAAGGTGTAATTTTACTTCATACATTTATGCAGAGCGAAATTTGGTCTGCATACTTGAATATATACAGTGCGATATGGTAGCACGACATACTTGATTTGCTTAAGTGAAAAAGCACGTTAGGTTTTTGTGTGGGTAATGAAATTTACTTAGTAAGTTACACTTACTCAGTAAGCAGTGAAATCATACTATAAATGAATTGATTTATTAATAATGAGCTCATTTATATGAAATCTTTCTGTATGGTAAATTATCCTTATATTCAATGGAAACATCGTATAATAGCATATTCACACAGTCTCATATAGACGGTTTTTGTCATTATAACCACTAATGAGAATGATTTACCATACAAAAATCTTTAATATAAATGAGCTCATTGTCAATAAATCAACTCATTTAGGACTGAAATTGTTGAACGCAACAAATGTAAATTTAAATAAAATGAAATGTAAATTTCCCACAAGGTGAAACTATTAAAAGTTGTAATATTTGTCATATATTTCACAAGTCAAATTTAAACAAACAACAGCTGAACTGTAAATAAAGGCACTGAGAAAGTAAATATTTAATAAAATTTTTATTTTTGGCACTGTTCCACGAACTACACGTAATAACTTCGAGTAACTAAACCAGCAAATTTTCGTTTAAATGAGAACATCTGAGAGAGCATAACATCCATTTCGAAATTTGAAAATGTTACACAGAAATTACTTGAACATTTTCTTTCGAGTAAAATTTGTGTTAAATTGTTTATTTGCGCGGCATTGGTGAAAGTAAAAAATGTCTGAAATTTTAATTATGTCAACTGTTATAAATAAATAGTGAAATTGATAAAAACACTTGCTATTAGTTTGTACTTTACCTATGTTTTACTCAAGTTTTACTACGAACATAACTATAATGTGAACGTTTCCTCATTAATATAAATGAGCAAAAGCCTAAATGAGACAGCGTGAATGTACTAAAAAAATTAAAAATAAATTCGAACAAACTTTTGCAGGTACCATTATTACCTATAAATTTTCGTTCGCTCACAAGCGTTCGCTTTAGTATGGATGCACCTTAAAATATGATTTTTTACGTATACATGTACATTTTCAATGAAAAATCTCTCTTTTGCCCATTTTAATATTTAATGGTTTATATACATTAATTCTTTAATAAAATAAAAATAAAAATTTATAATTTTAGATATTGAAACACATCTATTAATGTTAATAAAATATTACAGTTATATACATTAAATACAATATTGTCAAAAATTCTGTAGTACCATACTTATAAATATATATTCACCTCAAATGCAACCCTTGATAACTGGATTTTGAACAAGTCGAATATATAAAATAGTGTGGTAAAAATATATTTTCAGTTTTCGAATGAAATTTGTTGAGGAAGGTTGTGTATGAACGCATTGAATAATTTGTTGCCAAAATTTCTGTTTAAAAAAATTTAAGATTATCAATTAAAACTATTTCAAAAGATAGTCGAAGGCATTTGAACATTATTGCATTTTAAAAATATATAACTTGTATTAATACATAGTCTATTTTTAAGAAAAATAAGATATTAGCGAATTTAATTTTATTAAAAATATTACGTGAAAAATCGATAAAAATAGAATACCGTGTTAACAAATTGTGCGGCATAGGGCAAAAATTTAAATTCAAAAAGATATTGAGCTACTAAATTTTTGCAAGAAAATTAAGAAAAAAAATACTGTAGTACTAAATTAAAAAAGAAAAAAAAATAAAAATCAAATATATATGAGAGGGCCAAAATCCACATAAAAATTATTTTATTACACATAAATAATACTTATTAATAGCGGCGAAGGACGTATTAACGAAAGGAAAAAGCTATACGATCGCCAATTCAAAAAATCAAAATAAATAAAATAAACATTAAAAATCCAGTTGAAGAACAACAATTAATATTTTGATTTGTTTAGCAGCTGTGCAAAAACGCAATTCCTCACAATTGCGCCAAAAAGTAATAAAAAAATAAATAAGACCAAGTTCAAGTAATAAGTCAAAATAAACATTTAAATATTTAAGTGCCAAATTTATATATATATATATCTATATATATATAGAAAGAAAAAAATAAACAAACCCAGTCAACAAGTATATAAACGCATTTTATTTTGGATATTTGGGTCTATTAATATAGCATGGGCACAGAAACCAAATTCAATTGCTATTCAGAGAATTCTTCAACGGACGGCTGTATTCCTAAAGTAGTGAAAAGTTCTTCTGATCTAGCTCAAAAACTCAGCTCAAATGGAATTGACAATGGAAAAACTACACAAGTTAATGGTTCCACAAAATTAGTAGTACCATTCGTACCAATATTTATAGAAGAAAATAATGTCATTGATGGCGCAAAAGAACTCTTAACAGCTATACGCCCACAATGGAACCTTAATGATGTGGATTTTAAGGTAAATAAATTAAAATATTTAATAATATGCAATGCACAGATATTTTAACATATCTAAGAAAATTATGTATATTTAATTAGAAATTATATTTTACATATGAATAATTTCCATAATTAAATTTATTTACTATTACAACAATTATTATTTTTTCATAACATGCAATAGCTATTGGTTCTTATCTGATTGTTTACTTTTATTTTATAATTAAATAATATATTTCCATGGTTAGCTCTCCGACTTATTGAAAAATGTATGTTTCCTATCAAAACCTCTCATTCGTAGGAACACTTCTCTTGGACGGTCAATAATCTAAAACCAAATTTCGTTTTTATCATTAAAAGTTTAATTCCTTCTGAATGCACAAATTTTGATTTAAATATGTCCACTAAATAGAGTGAGTGAACTTCAATGTATATTAATTTAGTGAATATCCATTTAACAACAAAACAATTATTTTGGTGATCAAGCTTTCCGACTTATTGAAAAATTTTATGTTTCCTATCAAAACTTTTCATTCTTAGGAACACTCCTGTTGGACGGTCAATAATCTAAAACCAAATTTCATTTTTATCATTATTAAAAGCTTAACCCCTTCTGACCGCACAAATTTTGATTTAAATATGTCGACTAAACAGAGCTTCAGTGTATATTAATTTAGTATAAATCCATTTAACAAAACAAATATTTTGGTAACCATTTCATATATGATCACTTATCAGCGTTACTTAATGGTTTCGTTGCTATTATAAAAATATACTCAAGAACTGACACTGACTTCGGGTTATCTGAAAAGCATAATATAGTATTGATAACAATTTATGATTTTAGACTATTTGTTAAAAGACTTACATATTATTTTTTATTTAAACTATAAACATTAAATAAAAACAAATCGGAATCATTATCTTGTTATGTACACTCTGCACTTAAAGGAAAATTTTAAATAAATTTAGTACCCTTCTATATCTCTATCTTATGAACATGTACATGTGTTCTATATACTTGTATATATATGAACTCATAGAATTTGTTTTCACTAAGTTTGCTATTTTATAATTTATTTAAATTTAATGCGCAAAAGTATTAATGAATAATGAATCAACTTTTTTTATTTGTACACACACTAAAGTATTTGCTTTAATACTTTATATAGTAAATAAGCATTAAATACAACACTTTATTACTTTAGCATAGGAATAGGTATATATTTCAAGGCTAAATAAGCTTCGCTAATGCCTAGATGTACTGAGATTTAAAATATAATTATAGATAATATACGTAAAGAATTTTATTTTTGCATTTGAAATGTATAAGTAATATTTAAAAGTATAGAATTGTCTTGTAGTTTAATTTATATTCTGCATGTATTTGGTTATGTTCTTAAGAATATTAATTATTTAATATATAGAAAACAAAATATTTCAAATATTTTATATTGTTTGTCTTTCTTATAGAAAATAGCTTATTATTATAAAGAAATAGAAAAAATTTATAATATAAAATAACATATTTTTATTTAATTTTATATTTTTTGTATTTTATATTTTTATATCATATTTTATTTATTTATATACAATAAATAATATGCAAATATGCAATATATAATATAAACAACATGGTATACAAAAATATATTACAATTTAATAGTTATAAAAAAATTATTTAAATAATCATCAAATTTATATTTGATTTATATTTATTATATCTATCATTTTATATTCATTATCAATATTAATGACGCAATGATTCTAGTTAAATCTTGTCCTCCCTATCACTTTATATCAAATTATATAAATTGGTATTATATTTTTTTAAATCAAATTATTTATTATATGTAACTAAAAACTGCATATTTTTATATGCACTTTTTATTTTATTTTATTTCATATTATTTTTATATTGTATTTAAAATATATTTATATATATAATATTATTTATATAATATTATATTATTGTTCAAATTTGAACATGTGTCTGCGCGCTAATTACCTAAGTAACATATTCAGTTATTTGGGTATTAAATATTTTAGCATTTTATTTAATATTTTAGTATTTTATTTTATATTTTTAGTAAATTAAATTAATTTCTAACAAAGGTTTTTCAAAGCCTTAAAATATTTTGTTACCAAGGTTCTTTTACACATTAAAATATTAAATGTAATAACAGGGATTAGTTAATGTAACTGAAGAAAAAGGAAGTAATTAAATAAGGTAACAAAGAAAAAGGTTAAGGGACATTTCCTTTAACCTTGTACCTAAAAGAAAAACCTAATTAAACCTAATTATTAGACTATGTAAAATTTAGTATTTAAGAGCAAACATTATAGAAAATAAACGAGTCTTATATTTATTCTAAAACCGAACAGACGTGTGTTTTTAGTTGTAGTTTCTTGTACAATTATATATACAATAATATATATACATTAATATTATATGTACAATATTATATATACAATATATTTATTTCAATTTATATTAAATGATATAAATTTATATTTGATCTGGCTTCTAGCATATTGGGTCTAGCCTATGCGGTTAAGGAACTTTCGAAGTTCGTTGATATTAATTAACACTAGCTTCTCAAAATTATTTATGAATGGTTTTCATAGGTTTTCAAGAGGTTGTCTCTTCCTCTAGAAAGTTGAGTATGTATTAGGAAAATAAACAAGAGTCTCTTTTTCCACTGTCTGATTGCAGCGATCGCTGTAATATTATGGAGGGTTCCCATTTTAGTCGTCAGCCCTACAATAACATATGCCAGAAGCATGTAATTACTACTGATATTCGTATTATATCTGTTTATTAGAAATGATCAACACCATTGTAAGCTGCCGATAATACTTTACGGTATTAATACGAGGTCTATTATGCGTCCTAACAGAGTTATTGCGCCCACCCAAAAATTTTATTTGTTTGTTTTCAAAATAATTTGTATATATTATTTTTGAAATTAAATTTTCCTTTTAAGTCTGAACAGCTAATATTGTATTGTATATCACTCGAGCAATACAATGTATAAAAATAATATATACGAGTATTTTTGTGCGAAAACATTTTATAGATTGAATGTGTGAATGCAAAATGTAAATATTTTAAATATTTAAACATTTAAACATTTTCCTTAGTCACAGACGGAATGAAAAATTATTTTGTGCAGATGTCGGTAACAACATAAGTAAATACTTTTTTTTATAAAATAAGAGGCATCGAATAAGTAAAATCAATAAACGGATTTTTGTATTTGTTTAAATAAAACACATTGTATATAAAAAATATACATATAACGAGTGTATTATACTCAAGTTTCGCTGTTGACGACACAGCCTTTTTTAAATAAACAAATATTTATTTGCGAAAAAAGTATATATGTGTTTTAATGTTCCTATTTCATTTAAAATAAATGATATAATTAAATATATATTATAATAAAAAAATGCATACATTAATTTTTCACTCTTTAAGTGATGGACTTTTCTTAAATTTATATGTACTATTAAAATAGGTTCTATTAGGCATTAGTGAAGTAGGATTTTAAATTCAAAAGTGGGGTGTGAAATATCACTCTTAAGTATACCGCATTCATCATGATCTTAAAGCTGTTTTATAACCGGTAATAAAAACTTGCAACGGATCCTTAACTTTGCTTGGCAACCTTATAATCATAATAATTCAAATCCAATAAATTAAATTCATATATTATATCCTTAGTTTATTATAAAATAATTCTACTATATTTATTTTTATGGAATGGTGTTTATTATATATTACATTATAAAAAAAATTTTTTTTTTAGCTATCGAATGAGAAAATCTTTTAAAATCGACTATAAATATTTTTGTTTAATTCCTAATTATAATTTAAATAATATTTATATTATATGAAATTTAATGCTAATATGAAATAAATTTGAGTTACAATAAAAATAATTACATTTTCTTCCACGCTAATTTAGTATGTATAATATCTTTTCCTTTTATTCGATTTTTAATATATCTATAAATTATATGAAATCAGATTATTATTAATAATTATTTGAATTTAAAAATATTTCGTACTTAAAACAATGAACGAATTATTTACAATCATTTGTTATGTATAATATCATTCTATTATTAAATTTGAAATGATTATATAAATTATATTTAATTAAATTAAATTTATTAATACCTATTTTATATAAAAACAATACAATCTTTTTCCACGCTAGTGACTAACGCTGTATAAATTCACAGTGCATTTTATTTTTATTTAAATTTAAATACTTAAAACATTCTGATGTCTAAAAGTTATGTAAAAATATTCTTACAAGGAATTTTTTTCATAAGGGAACATTCCATTAGATTATATATATAATAATATATAATATTATTTTATATTAATAGTGGGTATTTAAAGTGGAATGAAACAATATGTTTATATGTTAATTAATTTATATTATATGGATTTTTTCAAAAAAATGAATGGCTTATCCATAAAAGACGAACAGTTTTTTATGAAATTCACAGCATATATATTGTAAAATCTTTACCAGGCATATAAATGTAGTACCCTAAATACATTGTTTGGTAACTACTTTACTTAAGTATTAGCAAGCAAATAAAATGTTTGTTAATTACTTCAATTTGGTTTTATTAAGTATTTTTGTAAAATTGAATTTGTCAGGGTTCAGGTGTAGATCTTTTTGAGAAATTTGTTTTTAGTCTGGATTTAGATCTTTTTAGATTAAAAAACTTGTCAGCATTTTTATTGTTGATTCTAAATTTAATATTTGAATGGTTGGAGGGCTTTAGCATCGGGATAGGACCTATATTTGATAAGTTTATATTTAATGATATTAAGATACTATCTGACTAGCAAATATCCCGTAGAAAGACTCAAGGTATTGTTGTTTATACATGTTGAGTATAACACGTCTTTCGTGCCTCACTTTCTTGCAAAGATTCATATTCATGTAATATATTGCTTTATTATGCCTCAGGTAGGCCCATAACCAGAAATTT